AGGCACAGAAAACCCCCCTCAAAATCAATAAAAATAGGTCAACATCCCGACATCTAATAGTAAAACTTACAAATCTCAGAGACAAAGAGAAAATCCTGAAAGCAGCTTGGGACAAGAGGTCCATTGTAACCTACAATGGTAGAAACATTAGATTGGCAACAGACGTATCCACAGAGACCTGGCAGGCCAGAAAGGACTGGCATGATATATTCAGAGCACTAAACGAGAAAAATATGCAGCCAAGAATACTATATCCAGCTAGGCTGTCATTGAAAATAGGAGAGATAAAAAGCTTCCAGGACAAACATACACTAAAAGAATTTGCAATCACCAAACCAGCCCTACAAGAAATATCGAAAGCAGTCCTCTAAGCAAAGAGAGAGCCTAAAAGTAACATAGACCAGAAAGGAACAGAAACAATATACAGTTAACAGTCATCTTACAGGCAATACAATGGCAATAAATTCCTATCTTTCAATAGTTACCCTGAATGTAAATGGGCTAAGTGCCCCAATCAAAAGACACAGGGTATCAGACTGGATAAAAAAAACATGACCCATGAGGGGCGCCTGTGTGGCTCAGTCATTAAGCGTATGTCTTCGGCTCAGGTCATGATCCTGGGGTCCTGGGATCAAGCCCCACATCGGGCTCTCAGCTCGGCAGGAAGCCTCCTTCTCCCTCTCCCACTCCCCCTGCTTGTGTTCATTCTCTCACTCTCTCTCTCTCTCTATCTCTCTCAAATAAATTTAAAAAATCTTTAAAAATTTTTTTTAATTAAAAAAAAAAACAAGACCCGTCAATATGCTGTCTGCGAGAGACTCATTTTAGACCCAAAGACACCTCCACATTGAAAGTGAGGGAGTGGAAAACCATTTACCAAGCTAATGGACATCAAAAGAAAGCTGGGGTGGCAATCCTTCTATCAGACAAATTAGATTTCAAACCGAGGACTATACTAAGAGATGAGGAAGGGCACTATATCATACTTAAAGGGTCTATCCAACAAGAAGATCTAACAATTGTAAATATCTATGCCCCTAACATGGGAGCAGCCAATTATATAAGCCAATTAATAACAAAAGCAAAGAAACACATTGACAACAATACAATAATAGTGGGGGACTTTAACACCCCCCTCACTGAAATGGACAGATAATCTAAACAAAAGATCAACAAGGAAATAAGGACTTTAAATGACACACAGGACGAGATGGACTTCACAGATATATTCAGAACATTCCATCCAAAAGCAACAGAATACACATTCTTCTCTAGTGCCCATGGAACATTCTCCAGAATAGAACACATCCTAGGTCACAAATCAGGTCTCATCCAGTACCAAAAGATTGGGATCATTCCCTGCATATTTTCAGACCACAATGCTCTGAAACTAGAACTCAATCACAAGAGGAAAATCGGAAAGAACCCAAATACAAGGAGGCTAAAGAGCATCCTATTAAAGGATGGATGGGTCAACCAGGAAATTGAAAAATTTTAAAAAATTCATGGAAAGCAATGAAAATGAAAACACAACTGTTCAAAATCTTTGGGATGCAGCAAAGGCAGTCCTGAGAGGAAAGCATATAGCAATACAAGCCTTTCTCAAGAAACAAGAAAGGTCTCAAATACACAACCTAACCCCACACCTAAAGGAGCTGGACAAAGAACAGCAAAGAAAGCCTAAACCCAGCAGGAGAAGAGAAATCATAAAGATCAGAGCAGAAATCAATGAAATAGAAACCAAAAGAACAGTAGAACAGATCAGTGAAACTAGGAGCTGGTTCTTTGAAAGAATTAACAAGATTGATAAACCCCTGGCCAGACTTATCAAAAAGAAAAGAGAAATGTCCCAAATCAACAAAATCATGAATGAAAGAGGAGAGATCACAACCAACACCAAAGAAATACAAACAATTATAAGAACATATTATGAGCAACTCAATGCCAGCAAATTAGATAACCTGGAAGAAATGAATGCATTCCTAGAGATGTATCAACTACCAAAATTGAACCAGGAAGAAAGAGAAAACCTAAACAGACCTATAACCACTAAGGAAATTGAAGCAGTACTCAAAAATCTCCCAACAAACAAAAGCCCAGGGCCAGATGGCTTCCCAGGGGAATTCTACCAAATATTTAAAGAAGCATTAATATCTATTCTCTTGAAACTGTTCCAAAAAATAGAAATGGAAGGAAAACTTCCAAACTCATTTTATGAGGCCACCATTACCTTGATCCCAAAACCAGACAAAGACCTCATCAAAAAGGAGAATTACAGGCCAATATCCTTGATGAACATGGATGCAAAAATTCTCACCAAAATACTAGCCAATAGGATCCAACAGTACATTAAAAGGATTATTCACCACGACCAAGTGGGATTTATCCCTGGGCTGCAAGGTTGATTCAACATCCGCAAATCAAACAATGTGATACAATACATTAATAAAAGAAAGAACAAGAACCATATGATCCTCTCAACAGATGCAGAGAAAGCATTTGACAGAGTACAGCATCCTTTCTTGATCAAAACTCTTCAGAATATAGGGATAGAGGGTACAGACCTCAATATCATAAAAGCCATCTATGAAAAACCTACAGCAAATATCATTCTCAATGGGGAAAAACTGAGAGCTTTCCCCCTAAGGTCAGGGACGCGGTAGGGATGTCCACTATCACCACTGCTATTCAATATAGTATTACAAGTCCTAGCCACAGCAATCAGACAACAAAAAGAAATCAAAGGCATCCAAATCGGCAAGGAGGAAGTCAAATCCTCACTGTTTGCAGATGATATGATACTTTAGGTGGAAAACCCAAAAGACTTCACCCCAAAACTCCTAGAACTCATACAGGAATTCAGTCAAGTGGCAGGATATAAAATCAATGCACAGAAATCAGTGGCATTCCTATACACCAACAACAAGACAGAAGAGAGAGAAATTAAGGAGTCATTTACAATTGCACCCAAAACCATAAGATACCTAGGAATAAATCTAACCAAAGAGGCAAAGGATCTGTACTCAGAAAACTATAAAATACTCATGAAAGAAATTGAGTAAGATACAAAGAAATGGAAAAACGTTCCATGCTCATGGATTGGAAGAACAAACATTGTGAAGATGCCAATGCCACCTAGAGCAATCTACACATTCAATGCAATCCCCATCAAAATACCAACCACTTTTTTCAAAGAAATGGAACAAATAATCCTAAAATTTGTATGGAACCAGAAAAGACCCTGAATAGCCAGAGGAATATTGAAAAAGAAAAGCAAAGCTGGCGGCATCGCAATTCCGGACTTCCAGCTCTATTACAAAGGTGTCATCATCAAGACAGTATGGTACTGGCACAAAAACAGACACAGAGATCAGTGGAACAGAATCGAGAGCCCAGAAATGGACCCTCAACGCTATGGTCAACTAATCTTTGACAAAGCAGGAAAGAATGTCCAATGGAAAAAAGACAGTCTCTTCAACAAACGGTGTTGGGAAAATTGGACAGCCACATTCAGAAGAATGAAACTGGACCATTTCCTTACACCACACACAAAAATAGACTCCAAATGGTTGAAAGACCTAAATGTGAGGCAGGAGTCCATCAAAATCCTAAAGGAGAACACAGGTAGCAACCTCTTTGACCTCAGCCGCAGCAACTTCTTCCTAGAAACATCGCCAAAGGCAAGGGAAGCAAGGTCAAAAATGAACTATTGGGATTTCATCAAGATAAAAAGCTTTTGCACAGCAAAAGAAACAGTCCACAAAACCAAAAGACAACCGACAGAATGGGAGAAAATATTTGCCAATGACATATCAGATAAAGGGCTAGTATCCAAAATCTATAAAGAACTTATCAAACTCAACACCCAAAGAACAAATAATCCAATCAAGAAATGGGCAGAAGACATGAACAGACATTTCCAAAGAAGACATCCAAATGGCCAACAGACACATGAAAAAGTGCTCAACATCGCTCGGCATCAGGGAAATCCAAATCAAAACCTCAATGAGATACCACCTCACACCCGTCAGAATGGCTAGAATTAATAAGTCAGGAAACGACAGATGTTGGCGGGAATGTGGGGAAAGGGGAACCGTCCTACACGGTTGGTGGGAATGCAAGCTGGTGCAACTACTCTGGAAAACAGTATGGAGGTTCCTCAAACAGTTAAAATAGAGCTACCATACGATCCAGCAATTTCACTACTGGGTATTTACCCCAAAGATACAAATGTAGGGATCCGAAGGGGTACGTGCACCCCAATGTTTGTAGCAGCAATGTCCACAATAGCCAAAGATGTCCATCGACAGATGAATGGATAAAAAAGATGTGATATATATATACAATGGAGTATTATGTAGCCATAAAAAGGAATGAGATCTTGCCATTTGCAACGACATGGATGGAACTGGAGGGTGTTATGCTGAGTGAAATAAATCAATCAGAGAAAGACATGTATCATATGACCTCGCTGATATGAGGAATTCTTAACCTCAGGAAACAAACTGAGTGTTGCTGGAGTGGTGGGGGGTGGGAGGGATGGGGTGGCTGGGTGACAGACATTGGGGAGGGTATGTGCTATGGTGAGCGCTGTGAATTGTGCAAGACTGTTGAATCACAGATCAGTACTTCTGAAACAAATAATGCAATATATGTTAAGAAAAAAAAAAGAAGAAGAAGGTAGCAGGAGGGGAAGAATGAAGCGGAGTAAGTCGTAGGGGGAGAGGAACCATGAGAGACGATGGACTCTGAAAAACAAACTGAGGTTTCTAGAGGGGAGGGGGTTGGGGGGATAGGTTAGCCTGGTGATGGGTATTAAAGAGGGCACATTCTGCGTGGAGCACTGGGTGTTATGCACAAACAATTTATCATGGAACACTACATCAAAAACTAATGATGTATGGTGATTAACATAACAATAAAAATTTTAAAAAAGAGAACACTTCCTTTGTTCAGTGAAAATGATTGGCAACATCATATACTAGAGGAAAGTAGTAAGTTCAAACATAATCTTTTTAAAAGGTACCTTTTTTCTCTCCAGTAACTTCTTTAGGTTCACTAGCTTTTTTTGCATTTTTTCCATTAGGAAAGTATTTTTCAAATCCTGTTAGAAAAAGAAAAAAAATACACACCCTCAAACTAAAATTCATCAGGTTTTATGTCTGTATGTTCATTTTTGAAGCTGACATATCATTAAAACGCTTATGCTCAAAGTGTAGCATTTCTTATGTAGAAGTAATTCAACGCTTAAATAACCAGAGGTGTTAAAGAAAAAAGCCTCTTTTGCATGCCAATTTCATTACCTATAAAAGTGTTATAATTGAGGGGATACATTTTCATCACTGCAATCAGAAAGAAGTAGGTAGGGGGTGGCTTACAGGAGACAGAATTTAAGAGTCAACCTGAAACAACAGCTATGCATCTATTAGTAAACACCTGCTCCTGGTACATTTTTTATTTTTAAGATTTCATTTATTTTGAAAGAGAGCAAGAGAGCACTAGCAGGAGGAGGGGCAGAAAGAGAGAGGGAGAAGCAGACTCCCCATTGAGCAGGGAGCCCAGTGCGGGGCTTGATTCCAGGACCCCAGGACCATGACCTGAGCCCAAGGCAGATGCTCAACCGACTGAGCCACCCAGGCACGCTGCTCCTGGTACATCTTTAACAAGAATATAGAACATTATAATCACACTGAGTGTGTTTACCTTTTGGAGGTCGAGAACAGAATCTTTGATAAGCAGCAATTACATCTGTCAGAAGAGAATTTCTGCTGGTTGTTGCCTGAGTTGTAGCATATTGATAAAGCTGCAACATGACATATAAATAAAAGCATAAAAATTATATCAAGATAAAACATTTAAGAGGACTTCCTTTCTTAATATCTCAAAGTGAATGAAATGTTTCTCCCCTCAACAGGTGGTTACACACTAGCATAGGGGATTCCCCCCTTTAAAAGGGAGGCCTCCAGTTGCCCAGGACTGTGGCACTCTATTCCCCAGGAGACATAAATTATGATCCAGAAGACAAGAATACTTCAAACTCCTGCCTAGGTTAGAACTGTGGCCCAATTACTATCCTCCACCAACACATTCACTTTGGCATTATCAATTTGTAGCATTCAAAAGACAAACTGACACAGAAAATCTGCTCCTTCATGCTGTCTTGTTTGCAGGGTGTATAAAACTACAAGACTATTCACCTGAAATTACAACAGCACTGCTTGCAAACATAATACTAAATTCATCTTAGTTCCAGGATAAGGAAGTTATGGTCCGACATCACTGATAATCCTTAAAAAAAAAATCCTTACACTAGCAACATTTGTTAAAGGTATCTGATATATTGTCATCCTGGTAAGAATGCAGGTTATGCAAGTCCCGTAACAGACACATCTCTGCTTTAAGTAACAGTATGTTGCTATAAAGTTATTTTTTTAAATACAGTCCAGGTAAACTGAATTATAACATAAACAAATTGAACAAGCTCCCTATTAAATTTTTAGGTTCACAATTAAAAGCAAGGTGCATTGAGGGGATACCTCCGAATACAGTGAAAAACTTCAAGTTATCCTATCCCTTGGCAAAGTGAAAATTCATCACCATTTCTGGGGAGAACAAACTTTGAAATACAGATGAGAATGTTTATTTATTTTTTTTTAAAGATTTTATTTATTTATTTGAGAAGGAGAGAATGATAGACAGAGAGCACAAGAGGGAAGAGGGTCAGAGGGAGAAGCAGACTCCCCGCCGAGCAGGGAGCCCGATGCGGGACTCGATCCCGGGACTCCAGGATCATGACCTGAGCCGAAGGCAGTCGCTTAACCAACTGAGCCACCCAGGCGCCCCAGATGAGAATGTTTAAAGAGAAGTTCATCTGTATTAGTATCCACCAGCGTTGCCCCATTTATGGTCTGTCAGGGTGACTATAATCAAAAGACAATAAAAAGCGCCAGTGAGAATGTGGAGACTCATGGGGCACTGCTGGCGGGAATGGGAAGCAGTGCAGCCACTTTGAAAAAGTTAAATGCAGAGTTACCATGTGATCCAGTCAGTCCACTCATACCCAAGGAAATGGAAAACATGTCCACACAAAACCTTGTACATGAATGTTCATAACAGCATTATTCACAAGAGCCAAAAAGTGGAAACAACCCAAATGTCCATCAAGTGATGATGAAGAGATAAATGTGGTATACTCAAACAATGGAGTATTATTCAGCCATAAAAATGAATGAAGTGCTGATACATGCTACCACATGGATAAGCCTTAAAAACATTATGCTAAATTAAAGAAACCAGACACAAAAGGCCACATGTTATATGATTCCACCCATATGAAATGTCCGAAACAGGCAAATCCAGAGACTATAGATTAGCAGTTACTAGTTGAAATGTTCTGGAATTAGATAGTAGTACGGTTGTATAACCATGTGAATATACTAAAAAGCACTGAATTGTACACTAAAAATGATTAATTTTATGGGATGTGAATAAAAAAGTCAATAAAGAATAAAGCATGAGCTGATTTAACTTCAAATTAATATACAATTCTACACAGCAAAATAGGACAGAAACACTGACACTGATCTTGGTTGACAGCAATGCTGGTCCGACAGAATTTGGAGCTTCTATTGTGTTAGGTCCTCCCTTACCCCTGGGAACACTTCCTATGAAACCACCACTGATAATAAATAATAATGTATCGTAAGTGAATAAAGCTTTTCCAATACCAAATCCATAAAGGGTACAGATTAAAATGACCTGTTAGTTAAGGTGGGTAAGATAACAAGTCACACTGATCCACTGAGCCATCTATTCCAGGCCACACACTGGTAAATGGTGGGGGTCTGGAAGTCAGAACCAATCCCTACCTCTAAGAAACTCAGAAGTGCAAAGGAGAGAGTCCTGAGGACAAATCTATTACAGGATGGTATAATACACAGCAATACAAAACCTCTAAGTATATGCAAGAGAGGTAGCACAGAGGAAGTGATTACATGTTCACGGGACCTACAGATGTTATAAGAAAAGTTCTAGGCCTGGGATTTGAAGGACCTGTAATCACTAGGCAGATGGTGTCAGAACTTTTAATTTTGTTAAAGCTAGAAATCTGAACTTTTTGAACGACGATCTTTAACACATCTCATATTAGGAACTTCAGTTACACATCTGTAATGGGAGAAAACAACTAGTTCCCAGGGATGCCACCATGAGGATCAAATGTAATAATGTATGTAAAAGCACTGTTAAAATCATATGGTGATACCTAGATTTAAATTGCCATTCCCAATTATTCTGAAAGCCACTGGAGAGTAAGGGTTCTTTACATCACCATATAAAGTAAGTCTTTATGTCACCGTACAGAATCGGGCCCAAGGTATGTACTCAATAAACATTTATTGACCGATAAATCTCCTTCTATTTTCAAATTGTGTTGACCTGGAATACCTCTAGCAATAATCCTGTAACTGATTTTAACTCTGAGGTTATTTTCTCTAAGGGCACCATCAATGAAACTTTTCTCTGCTTATCTAGTCCAAACCCACTCAAAGGATAAGATAAAAAGTATCAACTCACAAAATATAAGTTTAGAGTACCTCATATTAGAGGATTAGCTTTTATGTTTGACAGTATGAGCACTTTTTAGCTGCTTTTTCATCAGTCCTTATTCCTCTGAGCATAAAACCTGAGAATGACATCTCATACCAAAATCTTTTCCCCAGAAAAACTGAGAATCATACTTCTGTGTCTGACCTTAACAGCAGCACAAACCTAAAGGCAAATCTGTTCTTTCAGACTCCCTTGCTACAGGTAGCACAGCAATGCCCTAATAGCCCCAGAGAGATCTTCTAAGCAACACCAGGGAATGTGTCACAGACCCCCCCAATCAGCCAGCTACTGCTACCAGCACAGGAGACCTCCTTATATACCTCAGCATCCAAGACTCACAGGACAATAGTGCCACTCAAAAGAGAAAGGGGGTTCAGATAAGATTCCTGACATCGTAACTGCAAACTCACAAGGCAGATCCCTAACTGTTTCTTGTCTGAGTCCAATATTCACTAGGGACAAACAATGTAAGATGGCAACACGGACGCAATGCGAATGTTAGGCCTAGTGCAAGGCAGTAGAGTAAGAAAAAGATGAAGATACTCCAAGATTGGCAAGATTTTCAAAGAAAATCATGAATGCAGGTACCATTAACATCCCATTTTAAGCGGAGAGGCTGAGATAATTTCCTCAAGGGCATCTGGCTAGTAAGTGACAGGTTCCTGTGACTGACTGACTCAGGGCCTTAACCACCATGTTCTTTTGCCCCTATGCCCCTAAGCAAACCAATGCAAGGCTGGTCTCTAAAAAGCCGGCAGACAGCAAGAGACCGTGTGGCTGAAAAAGCTGATATCGACTACCCACCCATTACATGAACCTTTACTTGACAGATTACTGCCGCTGTTCCGTGAGAACACAGTATCATCACTTCAGAAAAACATACTACCGTAGCCCACACGTTGGAGCCTTGTATCTGCTCGTTACCACCAACAGAGAAATAGCCTCCTACTAAACACAGGCCTTCTTATGCAACAAAAAACACATTCTCTACTCTGAGGAGGTGATGTTGTTAATAATCATAGTTAATATGTATTATCTACTATATGCCAGACCCAGAATGGCAGCAATAGCCCCATTCAACAGATGGAGAAATGGAGACTCAGAGAGGTTGAGTAGCTTACCTCCAAAACCTGTGCTTTCATTAAATCATGCTCACGTTGCCAACCCTTAAAACACATGGACGACAGCTGCTATTTTCCAGTACTATGAAAGCAGGTGAAAGAAAGGCAACCTATACTGGTGATATGACAGACAAGTTCCTTAACGTTTCTAGGTCTCAGCTGCTCTAATCTGTAAAATGGGTTCGTCCTGAATGAAGTCAGAGGACCCTCCCAGATGATCTTTTTGAAGCTCCCTGACGCACAAATATCTGATTCTGTTTTCAAAAATCCAATTCTATACCCAGGGTTTGACACGCACAGCGTGCTTACGGGAACCACGGGATAAATGACCCGAAACGCTGGGGCGACCCAGCATTGAACACGCAGCGTACGCAGGCTCACGAACCCGCCCCGGACGCCCGGACGGGCGCGAGGGCGCCCGGGGGCCGGTGACCTTGACACCCTGCCCTCCCGGGCCGGAAGCAGGCCCGAGGGTCGGGCCGGGCCGGGGGCGGAGGACGCTGGGCCCCCGGGACTCACCGTCCGGAGGCAGGACCGTTCGGTGGGGCCCATGCGGCCACCAGGCACGAGCAGTGGGGGCAGGCCGCGGGGCCAGCAGCCTCCCCGGCCCCACAGCCGCAGGCAGCGGTGCGCCATGGCCGCCGGCACCGCCTGCTCGGGCCGGGGACGCTGCGCAGGCGCGGCTCTGCGGCCGGCGGGCGGGCAGGAGGCGACAGGCGGCCTCGGGCCACGGGAGACGGCCCGGAGCAGAGTCAGCGAACGGCGGTGCTAGTCCCCGTCTCACAGGCGAGCTCACGCTCTCGACGCGCGCGTCTTCTCCCAGCCCCGCCCCTCCCGGCGTGCTGACGTCAGCCGTACAGCGGGCGCTTGGGTCGAGGGCCGAAGCGTCCCCGCTCCACTAGAATCGGGGTCGAAGAAGGAGGAGCTTGGAGAGCGAGGAATGGTGGTGGGCGGGGAACAAGGGAAAATGGAGGGGCGCATCTTTGGAGGCGGGGCTTAAGGGAGGCGTGCGAAGGGCGGGCGCGAAGATGGGCCTAGAGGGAGGAGTGTGAGGATGGTGGGCGGGGCAGGAGAGGAGCGCCGGGGCGGAGCTAGAGGCGAGACCAAACGGAAGGAGGGCGAGCCGAGGTAGGGGCTGGAGGGCGGGGCCAGCCGGGACCTGCGGGGAAAGAGCCGCAGAGGCTGCTGGGGCCCAAGACAAATGGACCTTTTCCTGTTTGGGTTGGGCACGAGGCCATTTTCTACATTTTAGGCGCTCACACTGGGTGTGTCGTGAAATATTTTATTGAGCGCCTAATCAGTGGCGGCATCGTCCAAGGCTCTGGACATGCTAAAACATATCCCAACCTTAGGAGAGCAATGGAAATAATCACGAATCAGTGAGCTAAATGCAATAATAAAAGTGCTGAGACTGTGACATCTGGCTTGGGCCCATCGGGAACCGTTTCAAAGGGAAATGATTCTCAGACGAACTCAATGGAACTGCACGCTGTTTCGCACACCGTGACTGTGGAGTAGAGAGAGGACTTTGGAGCCAAGTTCCACATGTCACTCTGTTTTCTAAAGCCCTGCCAGTAGTATGTATGATATAAAAGGTAGCTGATGTTATGGATGGGGAGGAAAAGGAAAGGCAGGAGATGAGCCTGAGGAGGGGTACAAAGGTAGCATCAGAAATTTATTCACATATGCACATATACAGATACGAAAAAACTGGAAGAATAGACAGTAAATTGGTAATGAAATTTCTTACCTGTCACAGGGGCAAAATCCAAAATACTGACAACTCACTCTACTGGCAGGCATTCTCAGAAATAACTGGTGGGCACAAGAATGATGACAGTGTATAGAAGGGAATTTGGCAATGTCTGCCTAAATGTCAAATGCATGTGTTCTTTAACCCGGATATTCCATTTATGGAAATGAACCCTAAAGACGAGCCTGCACACATACAAAATGCTGTGAGCACAAGGGTAATAATTACAGCATTGTTTGTAGTCACAATTATTGGAAATAACTCGAATATTCATCTATAGGGGACTGTTAAAAACAATGGTAAATTCATACCATTATTAAAATTTTTTTATTGAAGTCTTATTAGCATACAGTATCCTGTTAGTTTCAGGGGTATATGATAGTGAGTCAATATTTTTATACATTACGAAATGATCCCCATTAATCTCATTACCATCTATCACCATACAAAGTTATTACAATATTACTGACTATATGATCTGTGCAGTACATTATGTTTCCATGACTTATTTATTTTATAACTGGAAGTTTGTACCTCTTAATCCCCTTCACCTATTTCACCCACCCCTCAACCCTTCCCTTTCTGGTAGCCAACAGTTTGCTTCCTGTACATATGAGTCCGTGTCTGTTTTGTTTTGTTTGTTTTCTTCTTTTGATTCGACATATAAGTGAAATCTTCCCTGTCTGCCTTATTTTACTTGGCATAATACCCTCTAAGTCCATCCATGTTGTTGCAATGGTGAAATTTCATTCTTTCTTATAGCCGAATAATATTCATATATATATACCACATCTTTATCCGTTCATCTATCAATGGACACTTAATTTGCTTCTATATCTTAGCTATCATAAATAATGCTGCAATGGATATAGGGGTGCATATATCTCTTCTGATTGGTGTTTTGCTTTCTTTTGATAATACCTAGAAGTAGAATTGCTGGATCATATGGTATTTCCTTTTTTTTTTTTAATTTTTAAAATTCTTATTTTTTTAAAAGATTTTATTTATTCATTTGTCAGAGAGAGCGCACCCAAGAAGGGGTAGTGGCAGGCAGAGGGAGAAGCAGGCTCCCCGCTGAGCAGGGAGCCTAATGTGGGGCTCGATCCCAGGACCCTGGGATTATGACCTGAGCCAAAGGCAGACACTTAGCCAAATGAGCCACCCAGGCATCCCTCCATTTTTAATTTTTGAGGAACTCCACACCATTTTCCACAGTGGCTCCACCAGTTTACATTCCCACCAACAGTGTACAAGAGTTCCTTTTTCTGTACATCCTCACCAACACATACTATTTTTTGTTTTTTCGATAATAGCCAATCTGACAGGTGTGAGATGACATTCATTGTGGTTTTGATCTTCATTTCCCTGACAATTAGTGATATTGAACATCTTTTCATGTGCCTGTTGGCCATCTGTATGTCTTCTTTGAAGAAATGGCTATGTCTTCTGCTCATTTTTAAATCAGGTTATTTGGGCTTTTTAAATATTAAGTTGGGTAAGTTCCTTATATTTTTTGGATATTAACCACTCATCAGATACATGACTTGCAAATATCTTCTTCCATTGAGTCGGTTACCTTTTCATTTTGTTGATGGTTTCCTTCACTGTGCATTTTAGTTTAATGTAATCCCATTTATTTATTTTAGCTTTTGTTGCCCTTTTGCCTAAAGGGACAGGTCCAAAAAGTTATTGCTGAGGCTTATGTCAAACCTTACTGCCTCTGGTTTCTTCTAGGAGTTTTATGGCTTTAGGTCTTACATTCAAGTCTTTAATCCATTTTGAATTTATTTTTGTATATAGTGTAAAAGAGTAATCCAATTTCATTCTTTTGCATGTAGCTGTCCAGTTTTCCCACCACCATTTACTGAAGAGACTGTCTTTTCCTACTGTATATCCTTGTCTTCTAGAGTTGTTTTTTTTGGGGGGCTCTTTGTTCTATTCCATTGATCTATGTTTGTTTTTGTGCCAGTACCAAGCTGTTTTGATTACTATAGTTTTATAGTATACTTTGAAATCAGGGACTGTGATACCTACAGCTTTGTTCTGCTTTCTCAAGATTGTTTTGGCTATTTGGGGTCTTTGTGGTTCGATACAAATTTTAGGATTAGTTATTCTTTGTTCAAAATCCTTTTGGTATTTTGATGGGGATTACATTGAATCTGTAGATTACTTTGGGTAGCATGGACATTTTTTTCTTTTTTTTAAATATTAACTTCAGTATAGTTAACATGCAGTGTTATATTTGTTTTAGGTGTACAATATAGTGATTAAACAATTCCATACATCACCCAGTGCTCATCACAGCAAGTGCACTCCTTAATCCCCAACACCTATTTCATCCATCCCCCCACGTAGTATGGACATTTTAACAATATTAATTCTTCTAATCAATGAGCATGAAATATCTTTTCATTTGTGTCATCTTCAGTTTCTTTCATCAATGTATTATAGTTTTCAAAGTACAGGTGTTTTGTTTCACTTCCTTGGTTAAATTTATTCCTAGGTACTTTACTCTTTTTGGTGCAATTTAAAATGAGATTGTTTTCTTAATTTCTCTTTCTGATAGCTCATTATTAGTATATATAAATGCAACCAATTTCTGTATGTTATTTTGTATCCTGAGACTTTACTGAACTCATTTATTAGTTCTAATAGTGTTTGTGGTGACGTCTTTAAAGTTTTCTATGTGTATATCATGTAATCTGTAAATAGTGGTAGTTTTACTTCTTCCCTTCTAATTTTGTTGCCTTCTATTTCATTTTATTTCCTAATTGTTGTGTCTAAGACTTCCAATACTATGTTGAATAAATGCAGTGAGAGCAGCATTCCTGTCTTGTTCTTCATCTTAGAGAAAAAGCTTTTTTAGCTTTCTCCATTGAGTATGATGTTAGCTATAGATTTGTCATCTATGGCCTTTATTACATTGAGATTCATTTCTTTATACCCACTTTGTTTCTTCCATACCCATTATGTTGAGGTACATTTCTTGTATACCCACTTTATCATAAATTGATGTTTAATTTTGCTGTTTTTCTGCATTTATTGAGATAATCATATGATTGTATCCTTCATTTTTTTTAATGTGGTATATCACATTGATTGATTTGTACATGTTGAACCACCTTACATCCCTGGAATAAATCCCACTTGATCATGATGTATGCTTCTTTTAATGTATTGTTGAATTCAGTGTGCTAGTATTTTGTTGAGGATTTTCACATTTATGTTCATTAGGGATATTGGCTGGTAGTTCTCTTTTTTTGCATGGTGTCTTAGTGTTGGGTATAAGGGTAATGCTGGCCTCATAAAATGAGTTTAGAAGTCTTGCTTCCTCTTCAATATTTTGGAGTAATTTGAAAAGAATAACTACTAATGCTTTTCTTAATGTTTAGCAGAATTCATCTGTGAAGCTGTCTGGTCCTGGACTTCTGGTTTTCAGGAGTTTTTAAATTACTGCTTCAATGTCATTACTTGTAATTGTCATTACTATTCAGATTTTTTATTTCTTCATGATTAAGACTTGGGAGATTGAGTGTTTCTAGGAATTTACCATTTCTTCTTGATTGTCTAATTTGTTGGCATATAATTTTTCATTGTAGTCTCTTATAATTCTTTGTATTTCTGTGGTGTCCTTTATAATTTCACCTCTTTCGTTTCCAATGTTATTTATTTGGTTCCTCTCTTTTTTTTTCTTGATAAATCTGGCTAGAGTATTACCAGTTTTATTTATCTTTTCAACGGACCAGGTTTAATTTCATTGATCTTTTCTATTATTTTTAAAAATCTCTATTTATTTCTGATCTGGTCTTTATTATTTCCTTCCTTCCACTAATTTTGGGCTTTGTTTGTTCATCTTACAGTTCCTTTAGCTGTAAGCTTAGATTGTTTATTTGAGATTTTTCTTGTTTCCTTGATACAGGTAGGCCTGTATCACCATGAACTTCCCTCTTAGAACTGTTTTTGCTGCATCCCATAGATTTTGGAAAGTTGTGTTTCCATTTTCATTTGTCTTAAAGTATTTTTTGGTTTCCTCTTTCATTTATTCATTGACCAATTTGTTGTTTAGTA